TTTCTTTTGTTCCGCCGAAAGTGCGTTTGAGGTCTGTGTCCATTTTGAACTGCGCCACGATTCTCCCATTTCGTTTTTCCGAAGTCAAGTTTGTTCCAAAGTCAAAGAAATTTAGAATTATTGCCAAAATTATACTGACCACTTAAAAAGAGACCGAAGTATTGCGAATGACAATTTGGCGAGGTAAGAAGAGAAAATTAAGGGGGTGTAATTGAAGAAGGTGGTGGTGCTTACGTTTGCACAACTGGCGTGTTCAGACGCGCTGTTCTAGAAATAGAGTCAATTTTGAATGCTTCGAGCTAGAAGAAGTTATTGAATTTATGATAAGAATTCGAGCAGTAAAGCGATATCGCCACTAAGACTGAGATTGAAACAAATATGAACCGTCCAATTGAACAGATGACTGGCTGTGGGGGCGTTCAACAGGGGTCTAGGACAACAAGCCGAAGGGACTTCAAGCCGAAATTAAAACTTTACAAGCACCAATATATATGAATTGTCAAATTGAAAAGATGACTGGCTTTGGGGGCGTTCTACAGGAGTCAAGGACAACAAGCCGAAGGGATTTCAAGCCGAAATTAAAACTTTACAAGCACCGATAAATATGAGCCGTCCAATTGAACAGATGACTGGCTTTGGGGGCGTTCAACAGGTGTCTAGGACAACAAGCCGAAGGGATTTCAAGCCGAAATTAAAACTTTACAAGCACCAATAGAGACGCTGTGTCTGTGGCCAAGCTTCCCCAATTAAGTCAATTATCTCGCGATTCGTCAAGAAAACTATCAACTTCAGTAACACAACATTCTAAAACAGCGGCAAAACAAAGATTTACGCGCACAATAACACTCGTGTCGAATTTAAGCGCAGCGGAGCAAGCGGTCGCTAATCGCCAATGCCGCGTTTGAAGTTAGCTATCACAGTTCACAGTTTGTAATTGTTCTGAGTCAGCTAAAAAACCGGTCTGCTAAAATCCCTAGCACCAAGGCAGATAGAATGGTGAATTCCCATAGGTTCCAATATTCATAGCGCCCAAAAAAAAATCAGTCGGATAAGTTAAAAAGTTTATCTTTTTGAGTTCTGATTGGTTGAAATTTGAGCCAATGAATTTTTGGATTGATTGTATACTGTTCAAGTGGCATAAACTCAAGCTGCAGAATAGTGACCGCCGCAGCCGCGCCAACGTGTTGCGAACTTGGCACCAAAGGGTAGGACTCTTAAAAAAATTTTGAGTCCCTTATCGCCGCGAAGCGGTGAGGCGACAATAAACCGAGACTCAACTAATTTTAGTCTTCTGACCAATTGAAAAGATTTGGGACTTATACGACTGCTTTTTTATTTTAGAACCTATGGGACTGATTTTTGATTTTGGGACATATGAATACGCACCGATAGAATCAACGCGTGATTCATGAAAAAAAAAACGTGTTATACAAAGATAGAGGAGTGCGGTCTTTATTTAGACAACCGCGTATTCATACTCGTCAGTAAGCAGACAATTACCATAACTGCGTTTTTAATCAACACGAGTGTTATTGTGCGCGTACATCCTTGTTTTGCCGCTAATTTAGACTGTTATTTTTGTGAAGTTGATAGTTCAATCAATCATCCATCACTTTATTATGTTGGTCTGCTAAAAGTCTCATTTTTCATTTTTATGCTAACAGATTGGTCTGCTAAACGATCGGTCACCCAAAGATAGCACAACGGCTACATACCTATATATACAAACAAACTGAACACAAGACCGCTCGTATCAGGGCGAAGCCCTGAAATTTCCGACTGCCTTTTAAGGTTTATGGAGCAGTAATAACATAAAAAAAAATTAAAAGCTATAAAACAAAATGAAATTTTTTTTTTAATTTAAATTTTTCTTAAATAAAAATCATCACCCCACACGCCATATAAAGTACAAAAGGATAGATTTCGCTACTTGTAACAAATCAACTATGGCTAATAAGCTTCGTTAATCCAATTTGGAACAATTTCTAAGACGGATTAACTCTCCGCTTACGCGTTAATAGCGCGAACTATATCGCGCGTTAATTGTCCCAAAATGGCCAAAATGGCAAAATTTAAACCCCCATAACTTTGCAAAAAAAGAGCACCTGTGAAATATCTTTTCAAATTTGAGCTCAGGACAACCATATAAAAAATTTTGAGCTCAGGACAACCATACCTTTCGAAAGATATAAAAAAATTCCGTCAAAAATGGCTAGTTAAAAAGTCGAAATTTGTCTGAAGGAAAAAAACCCATCGCGAGCACAAATATTCCGTTACTTTCGTATCGAAAATCGGAACAATAACACGCAACCGTTTTATCAACTCATAAGTATAGGACTCCAAATAGATAGCGCCATAGCTCTATATCCTTATTCAATATTCAATGCCTCTTAGAGATTGACGGAGGAATTCAACTTTTGTCGCGATCGAAAACGGTCGCTCAAACGGCACGACATGCGGTCTATGTTACGCAGTCACATGTTAAAAAACGCATCTTAAAAAAAGACCAGCTCAACCCAAATTTGGTAATACCAGAATGATGCCACCAAATAGAAAGTAATTCCATATAGCCGCGACCTATTTTGATCATTCGAGACGGAGTCGAACGAAAAAAAAACCACAATCGGAATGACTCAAAAACCAGAAGCAAATTGGTACTTCTTCACCATCAAAAATTTTCGCAGCAATGCCTCAAAAGCGTTTATGAGACTTGATATTAAATTCCCCGGGCGGAGGTGCTCGACTCATGATTCGACCGAAACAGTCGAACGATGTTCGTTTTTGACTTTGCTCGATTTTACCGGGCATTGTTCGACTTTGTTCGGCTTTACCGGACATTGTTCGATTTTTTATTCGACATTGTTCAATTTTTTATTCGACTTTGTTCGATTTATTGGGAATTTTTTGTATTTACCGAGAATTAGCTGAAGCGTCCAGAACTACAACAAAATCCGACATCATTTGTAAAATACCTCAGCCTGGGCAGCCGCCAAATATAACAGAAAATACCACGAACTTGAGCATAGTAGTTTTGTATAGTCCGTATAGATTCGTAGAGAGTTTAGTTGTGGGACTTTCAGTCAACCAGACCAAAAATGGCTTTGTATCGATGTATGTAAAATGTTAATTCAATTTTTGGAGAGAGCCAAAAGCCCGAAAAAAATTTTGATTTTAATTTAAAAAATTAAATGATCACATTCACTTGGATCTCAGGAACGCTTCAAATATCAATTTAAGCTATGTTTTATTCTTCCGAAAGCTATACAAGTGAAGCAAAAAAATGTTTCTCAAATGGTTAATCACTTCAAGGCGACAAATTTTGGAAAATTATGCGTGTCGACAAATATAGCTGGTAACTTTGCAATATTTATGCTCTCATTGAAAACGGAAATAAGAAGGAAACCTGAATCATTGATAACAATAGAAAAAAATGAAGGAAATCGAAAATCAAAACATCCGAGTTCCGAAAAAAAACTCAATTCAAACTTTATTGCTGCTGAAGTGATCGCGTCTATCTTTTGATTTTTAACGCATTTCCTGCTATTTATCAAGCTTCACCGAGAACTACTGATACGAAAACAAATGATTTGAAAAAAGTCTCTATCAAAATCTGACAATTCTCTGATGATCAAATTATTGAAACTCTATAACGATTCAATAGAAAAATTTTCCTGTGCGTTTTTGGTGATTCGTAATTCAAAGATATTCGTTTTTCCGATGTAGATGAAAATTTAGTGCTGTGATTATCTTAAGTGCTGTGGCTATTTAGCTGACTCTAGAATATCGCTTTTCAATAACCAGAAGTTTTTTTAGTGATAAATTACGTCGATTAGGCTGATACATTCTTCCAAAACTAACAACGCAAAATATCACGAGCGTTTGCTTTTTTCTCTTTTTCTCTTTCTTTTTCATTTTTTTTTGTAATTTTATAACCAGAGAGTCAAAAATTAGCATTTTAACCGTTGTTGCAACAAAAATCTTTCATTATTTCACACAGCAAATGTACCCAGTTACTAAAATAGTCTTTGAACATGTTTAAAGACTTGTCTCTGAAATCCAGGAGCATACAGACACAAAAAAGTGCGCCTATCCAGTGCACATTTTGACCTCACAATGAGAAAAAGCCCTTGAATTTCATAGCTTAGGATTTTTTAAAGGAAAGTATAACTAGAAGAAAAGTCAAAAGAGCCAGCGGGAATCAAGTCGACCAGATTGAGAAAATTGGCACCTAAACAGTCAAACCGGATATTAACAAAAACTCAAAAATAATTAACCATGAATGAGGCTACAAGTCTATGAGATACATTCCTCTATTGGCTGCGTTTACCTTCCCTTGGCTCTTAGAAAAAATTATAATGATTTTAATAGTTCCGAGTACGCAGGCAGCGTTAGCAATTAGTGATTACCAGGAAAAATCTCTGTTTAAGAAAAAAAACCTGCTCTGGGTTCATAGGTATATTTTCGTAAAATGTTACTAAAATTAACTAGAAAAATTTTATTGCAAGGGTTAGCGGCACTCTGAATTTCAAAAATTATCGGTTAAAAAAGACATCCATCAATAATTAACTCCCTATTTTTGTCAGTTTGTGCCGTATTCCGCCTCGGCCGTCTCAGTTCCGGGGTTAAAAACCAAGCCTGTGCATATTCTAGTAGTAGCCAGGGAGTCAAGAACCGTTTTATCTACCGTAATTTCCCACAGCCACAGGAGCGGCCTACTAATAGCCCACGCAAATTGCTGTTTCTTCGAGATATCCATTTTTGTTTTTGAAAACGGTTTTGTACTTTTTTTTGCCCATATTAAAAGAAACAATTTGGCAAAAATGTATGTCTTTAGTCGTTTAGGAGAGCTCCTAAAATGGTGAAAATGTTTTTGGCCGACCTAGAAAGTTGTGTTAACGAAATTATCAAAAAATGTTTTTTCACTTTTCAAGTTGACTATTTCTGCTTGTCTAACATGAACACCCTCAAAAGAACATTAACTAAACTTCAATATTCACAATTTAACGCCTTGAGTAACGGTCATAATCATTAAAAATGGGAAAATGCAAAAAGTAGCACCCACAGCCATGACTTGGTCCAAAATTGTTATGATGAGTTTTGAGTTGTGATGTGACGTTTTGTAACGAATCTGATAATGCTGCTGGGATGATGTCAAACACCACGCATATCTTTGAGAAAATGAGAAGACACAGTTGTTGATTGTTTTCAATAGACATGATTGGGCCCAAAGAGCGAGTCAGTGCTGGCCTCCCACTGCCCTTGTACATGCCATGACACGCTTCCCCGTTCGCCTGAATCAGCAGATTTTCGACACCTTTGGTTCACCATGATTATTGGCTTAAAAAACGACAAATTTTGACATCACAAAAACAATTGCGGAGACCTAATGCAAAGTCATGCTCTAAAAATTGCGACCAAGCGATTTTTTTAACCAGACGATGATTTTTTTTAATATGACGAACATTTGCCAAATGGTAATTTTTTTGATATTTAAGTTTTTTGATATTCGCAGCATTTGCCAAACAATATCTTTTAGAATAATATGATAAGGCTTTTGTATTATTCGACACAAGCTCTCAGCTAGATGCGATACAAGCGTGTTATTTATTGCTTCACAAGCGTGTTATTTATTGTTTCATGGCAAGAATTTGAAATGTTATGTAAAAAAAGGAACCTTGGCCCTTTGGAAGAATGCATCTCCATATGCAGCCCTATTTTCCTCTTTGCCACCCCATGCTTTGATGGAACTGGCCTGGAGAGCCCTGCCGAAGCTGAAGCTCAACTTCCAGGGCTTCTTCACGTTCTGCAAACCATTCATCGCATTCAGATTCAGAGAGGCGTCCTGCTCCGACATCCCACCAGAGAGAAACACGACACCTGAAAGTTTGACACGAAAACGAACAGTAACATAAAAAGAACAGATCAATAAAATTAGAAAACAAGGATAAACAAGAAATCAAAATCATCGAAGTTGCATTGTCACATCTGATTTCAGTGACGTGGCTTAATAATTCACGCTGGAAATCAGGGGCCGAGGGCGGAAAACGCTTAACTATATAACTAGTTGCTGCATCTCTTAGTATTTGTATAATGAAAGGTACCAGGCATTACATGCGGCACCACTCTTATGAAGGCAGTGACAGTCCTCAGGGCTATCTCCTGGTGACTGGCCCTCGTGGCACAACTCTGTCCGGGGGTGACCATGTTCGGTTTGAGCAGTGTGCCTTCTATGTAGACATCGTGCTCTATTAGCTCCCTGTACTGAGCACTCAGCACCCTCCCCGCCACTCTCTGACACACCTCGATAAAATAATCTCTGTCATGCAGGATTTCCGGCTCAACTATCGGCACCAAACCATTCTACAAAGCAGCGCAACGATTCAATATACTCAAATATAATGTTTAAAAAAATCTATTAGAAGCTTCGAACGTTGCCTTTAATTTTGTTGTATAATGGAAATGCAAAAAACATATCATAATGGAACCTAAGAGCCTCTTACTTAAGGACTCGACCCTCGCCACTCAAAGCCCCTTCTTTGGCACTAAATGACGACATCCATTTTCAGCTGACCGACCCTAAGCTTTTGGTAAAGCGTCTTCGGCGCTAACCTATACTAATTTGAAGTGAGCGCGCCGAAAAAAAACAGTTCTTTGGTCAAAACTTTCCGGCGTGTTTTTGTTTTGAAAATTGTCAGGGGTGCACAATTTTTTTTTCAAAATAAAGTTCCTATGGTGTTATGAGAAAGCTCGTGAAGTTAGTATGGTCTGTTCGACCTTAAGATAAGAAAAAACCTTAAAAAATCCACAAACCCCAAAGAAAAGACAAGATCAGCCCTTAGCTCAGATGAAAATATTTCCACACATGCTGGCAAACTCGTGCATCTTTGGCCAGATCAGAGGTCACAGCCCTGATATTAACATCACCTGGGGTTCCATCGGCCGTTATTTTCAGCACTCCTCTCCACTTTGCAAAATCACACCTAGCCTTCTTGTACCTTTCACATCTCTCGTCTAGACCTTCAAGCCCTCCGGTCACCACTTCTCCTGGACATCCGCCTTGGCTCACGGTTCCCTGGTCCACTTTGATGCCTAGGGTGATATGGTTGTCCTGAAGCAGCTTCACAATTCGCCCGCCTGTTTCCGAGTCAGTTTGGTACAGTGTTTCATCAAACAAAATGACACCGCCAATGTATGCTTTCACTCTTTCTGCTTCTTCAAACAAAGTCTGCCGATAGACTCTTAAATAAGAATTGAGACCTTCACAATGCTTCAGTTTTATGTTTCACAATCTATTAAACCTTTTGTGAAAATCTATTATAATATAGAAAACTATATATTGAATTACCGTAAAACTATCTCATTTTTTCTCTTCAGATTTACAAAAATCTATTGGAAAAGCAGTCGAACAGCAACCAAATTTAGGCCAATTTTTGTGGTCCTATAATCGCAGTCATAGTATTATGAGCAATATTTTATGGTTCAAGCGTATCAAATACTATTGAGTCGGTTACAAAACACTAGCTCACTGATTATCACTGAAACCAATATTTAAAAAACTTGAATGAAGAAAAGAATAACCTCCTAATATTTTCTGTGTTCTCCTTGCCAATAGTTGCCATGCGCTTCCCGAAAATGCCCGTGAACTCATCGAGAGCCAAGATGCCTCTCCCACCAGCTACAATATTGCTGGCAATGTCTCTCAACTCTTTCTTTTGTTCCACCAAAAGTGCGTTTGAGGTCTGTGTCCATTTTGAACTGCTCCACGATTCTCCCATTTTGTTTTTCCGAAGTCAAGTTTGTTTCAAAGTCAAAGAAATTTAAAATGGTTGCCGAAATTATACTGACCACTTAAAAAAGAGACCGAAGTATTGCGATTGACAATTTGGCGAGGTAAGAAGAGAAATTTAAGGGGGTGTAATTGAAGAAGGTGGTGGTTCTTACGTTTGCACAACTGGCGTGTTCAGACGCGCTGTTCTAGAAGTAGAGTCAATTTTGATTGCTTCGAGCTAGAAGAAGTTAATGAATTTATGATAAGAATTCGAGCAGTAAACCGATATCGCCACTAAAACTAAAATTGAAACAAATATGAACCGGCCAATTGAACAGATGACTGGCTGTGGGGGCGTTCAACAGTGGTCTAGGACAACAAGCCGAGGGGACTTCAAGCCCAAATGAAAACTTTACAAGCACTAATAAATATGAATTGTCCAATTGAAAAGATGAATAGCTTTGGGGGCGTGAGTCAAGGACAACAAGCCGAAGGGATTTCAAGCCGAAATTAAAACTTTACAAGCACCGATAACTATGAACAATCCAATTGAACAGAAGACTGGCTTTGGGGGCGTTCAACAGGGGGTCTAGGACAACAAGCCGAAGGGGTTTCAAGCCGAAATTAAAAGTTTACAAGCACCGATAAATATGAACCGTCCAATTGAACAGATGACTGGCTTCGTGGGCGTTCAACAGGGGGTCTAGGACATTAAGCCGAAGGGACTTCAAGCCGAAATTAAATTTTTACAAGCACCGATAACGATGAATCGTCCATTTGAAAAGATGACTGGCTGTGGGAGCGTTCAAAAGGGAGTCAAGGGCAACAAGCCGACGGGACTTAAATCCAAAATTAAAATTTTACAAGCACCCCACTTGATAAGAATTCGAGCAGTAACTCGATATCGCCACTACAACTGAGATTGAAGTAACTATGAACCGTCCAATTGAACAGATGACTGGCTGTGGGGTCGTTCAACAGGGGTCTAGGACAACAAGTCGAATGAACTTCAAGACGAAATAAAAACTTTACAAGCAACGATAAAAATGAACCGCCCAATTAAACAGATGACAGGCTTTGGGAGCGTTCAACAGGGGTCTAGGACAACAAACCGAAGAGACTTCAGGCCGAAACTAAAACTTCACAAGCACCGATAAATATGAACCGTCCAATTGAATAGCTGACTGGCTGTGGGGGCGATCAACAGGGGTCATGGACAACAAGCTGAAGAGACTTCAAGCCGAAATTAAAACCTTACAAGCACCCAAAACGCTAATTTATCATCTGTAAAACGTGGCGTTTTTAAAATTTTGGCAAGTTTAGTCAATAATAAGCGTTATTCATGACAACGCAGCACTTGTGGTTCGCATCCGTTAATAACAACAGCCGGTTTTTGAAATGCATAAACTTTAAAAATGAAAAAGGTTTTCAACCATGTTCTAGTTCTCAATTTTCCGAAAGATCATTTGGGGGCTTAAATTTTATGCAAACGCCAATAACTAGTAAAGAAAGATCACGAAATTTAAAAATTCTTCAAAAAAATTTTCAAATTATTCATGTTTCACGACTTCATAAGGAACTATTTGGTTTGAAGTACCTAATTTTACGATTCGGCATGAAGTCCCGTCGGCTTGATATCCGGCCCTCATTCAACAATGCCGAAGTACAACAGTGCCGTAAAAGGCGGAAAAAACTTCAGAATAACTTAAACGCTTTTTCTGAAGAGCGATTAATTACTGACTATAATTATCAAAGTAAACTACTCCAATTTTGGCGCTAAAATGTCAGCAACTGCAAAATAAACAATTATTTTGGCGCCAAAACGTCTAAATTGAAAAATTTCTCTCTGAAAATCTGATTATGTAGCAGTATTTAGATAACCGCGTATTCACACACGTCAGTAACAATTTTTTAACTGTTTAACATTGTTAATCACTGTTTAACAAGGTTTTCATTTACGGCACTGTTGAACTAATTTTTTTTCGGCACTGTTGTACTTCGGCATTGTTGTACTGCCCTTAGGCTGTCGATTATTGAACTCGAATATTGTGATAAGTTGGAAGGCGAGGCAGATGGGGACCAATCGTTTAGCAGACCAATCTTTTGGCATAAAAATTGAAAAATGAGTCTGTTAGCAGACCAATGTAATAGAGTGATGGATAATCGATTGACAGACTCAGAGAGACACTGTGTCCGTGGCCAAGTTTCCCCAATTAAGTCAATTATCTCGCAATTCGTCAAGAAAACTATCAACTTCAGTAACACAACATTCTAAAACAGCGGCAAAACAAAGATTTGCGCGAACAATTACACTCGTGTTGAATTAAAGCGCAGCGGAGCAAGCGGTCGCTAATCGCCAATGTCGCGTTTGAAGTTAGCTATCACAGTTCACAGTTTGTAATTGTACTGAGTGAGCTAAAAAACCGGTCTGCTAAATTCCCAAGCACCGAGGCAGATAGAATGATGAATTCTCATAGGTTCCAATATTCATAGCTCACAATAAAAATCAGTCGGATAAGTTAAAAAAAATTTTTTTTATCTTTTCAAGTTCTGATTGGTTGAAATTTGAGCCAATGATTTTCTGGATTGATTGTATACTGTTCAAGTAGCATAAACAAAAGCTGCAGAATAGTGACCGCCGCAGCCGTGCCAACGTGTTGCGAGCTTGCCACCAAAGAGTAGGACTCTTAACAAAATTTAAAGTCCGTTATCGCCGCGAAGCGGTGACGCGCGCGTAGCGCACCCAACGACGACCTTAAGCCGAGACTCAGCTATTTTAAGTCTTCTGACCAACTGAAAAGATTTGGGACTTATGCAACTGCTTTTTTATTTTAGAACCTATGGGACTGATTTTTCATTTTGGGACATATGAATACGCACCGATAGAATCAACAGGTGATTCATAAAAAAAACGTGTTATACAAAGATAACGGAGTGCGGTCTGTACTTAGACAACAGCGTATTCATACTCGTCAGTAAGCAGACAATTACCTTAACCAATCAGAATCGAGATGAGAACGCAAATTTACTAAATAAATAGTTATTAATTATTCATTTCTTCCTTGTCACGAGTCTGGTTGGTTAATACAGTATTTGTCTAATTACTGACGAGTTTGAATCCGCGAATGTCGCAATACTAGTGCGTAACCAAAGATAGGGTGCTAGGCATTTTAGAAGACCGGTTTTTAGCAGAACGGTTTTCTAGTAGACTCAGAACAATTATAAATTGTGATATCTAACTTCGAACGCAGATTTGGCAATTAGAGACGCTTGCTCTGCTGCGTTTTTAATCAACACGAGTGTTATTGTGCGCGTACATTTTTGTTTTGCCGCTAATTTAGACTGTTATTCTTGTGAAGTTGATAGTTCAATCAATCATCCATCATTTTATTTTGTTGGTCTGCTAAAAGTCTCATTTTTCATTTTTTATGCTAACAGATTGGTCTGCTAAACGATCGGTGCCCCAAAGATAGCACAACGGCTACATATCTATATATACAAACAAACTGAACATAACACGCAATCGTTTTATCAATTTATAAATATAGGACTCCAAATAGATAGAGCCATAGCTCTATATCCTTATCAATATTCAATGCCTCTTAAAGATTGACGGAGGAATTCGACTTTTGTCGCGATCGAAAACGGTCGCTCAAACGGCACGACATGCGGTCTATGTTTGCAGTCACAAGTTTAAAAAAGGCATCTTAAAAAAAGACCAGCACAAACCACATTTGATAATACTAGAATGATGCCACCAGATAGAAAGCAATTCCAAATAGCCGCGACCTATTTTGATCATTCGAGACGGGTGCGAACAAAAAAAAACCGCAATCGAAATGACTCAAAAATCAGATGCAAATCGGTACTTCTTCACCCTCAAAACTTTTCGCAGCAATGTCTCAAAAGCGTTTATGAGACTTGATATGGAATTCCCCGGGCGGAGGTGCTCCACTCATGATTCGACCCAAACAGTCGAACGATGTTCGTTTTTGACTTTCATCGACTTTACCGGGCATTGTTCGACTTTGTTCGGCTTTACCGGACATTGTTCGATTTTTTATTCGACATTGTTCAATTTTTTATTCGACTTTGTTCGATTTATTGGGAATTTTTCGTATTTACCGAGAATTAGCCGAAGCGTCCAGAACTACAACAAAATCCGACATCATTTGTAAAATACCTCAGCCTGGGCAGCCGCCAAATATAATAGAAAATACCACGAACTTGAGCATAGTAGATTTGTATAGTCCGTATAGATTCGTAGAGAGTTTAGTTGTGGGACTTTCAGTCAACCAGACCAAAAATGGCTATGTATCGATGTATGTAAAATACCCTAAATGAGTTAAGGTAAAAAAGATTGAGGTAAAATTTACCTTAACATAACTTTAATTTGACCATAATTTTACCACATCGAATAATGGGAAGTTTTCTATACCCAAAATAAACTATGTTATTTTTCTTCCGAAAGCTATGAAAAAAAGAGAAAAAAAGGTTAATACAAAACTTAAGCTAATCTTAAGAGCGGGCCAGAAGCCCGAAAAAAGTTTTTGTTAACTTAAAAAAATTATATCGTCACATTCACTTCGAATTTAGAATTTTTTTATTTATCAAAATCAAACTTTTTTCGTTTCCTCGATAGCTATCAACAAAGTGCAAAAAATTTTAAGGTAAGACAAAAATTTAATCCAATTTTTGGAGAGAGCCAAAAGCCAAAAAAACTTTGATTTTAATTTTAAAAATTGAATGATCACATTCACTTCAATCTCAGGAACGCTTCAAATATCAATTTAAGCTATGTTTTTATTCTTCCGAAAGCTATAAAAGTGAAGCAAAAAAAAATCTTTCTCAAATTGTTAATCACTTCAAGGCAACAAATTTCGGAAAATTATGCGTATCGACAAATATAGCTTGTAACTTTGCAATTTTTATGCGCTCATGGAAAATGGAAATAAGAAGGAAACTTGAATCATTGATAACAAAAGAAAAAAATGAAGGAAATCGAAAATCAAACCATACGAATTCCGAAATAAACTCATTCCAAACTTTATTGCTGCTGAAGTGATCGTGTCTAGTTTTTG